TATAGATGGCATGTGACTCTTAAGTTGTATCCAGGAAAGTGCTTCCCATAGGCTGGCTGATTTAGTTGACTGGCAACCAATGGGAGGGTTGGAAGAGTGGAAGTGGGGGAAATGATGCTGTGCTAGTGACAAAATGTCATTTATGGTGAATACCAGAAGTGACATCACATTGCTAGCATAATGTTGAGGTGACACACTAAGACTTTGGAAAAAAATGATGGTAAAACCACAATGTTTTGCTCAAATCCTAGAGCTTCACTTTGTTGTTATGCTGGCAACATATTTGCCAGAAGTGATGTTACACTGCTGGCACAGCACCATTAACAACAACAACAAAAATCTCCTCCTACTAGCCCTCAGTGGGCCAGCAGGCAATGTAAAACAGGATTTAAATGTCTCCTGGAGTACCAAACCCCTAAAGCAGAAAGGAGTACCATAAAAAAAAGAAGAAGCTGTATAACAACTTTATTCATTTAGGATATTTATATGCCATCTCTTCAGAGTCCTACTTAAGGTGGCTGTTAAAACGATATCACAATACTAAAAACAAGCCATTAAAAGCAAATCATGGGGCAGCATAAAAAGGATCCATAAAACAGAGGCAGACCATTAAAAAGCTAATTAGATAAAACCCGCAATTAACAGCCTGAGTAAAAGGATGTAGTTTGGCCTGGTACCTAAAAGAAGGTGAAGTAGGTGGCAGGCAAGCCTCAAGAGGGGGGGCATTCCAGAGGCAAGGTGGCACTGCAGAAAATGCTGTTTCTAGTTGCTACCTGCCTCATTTCTGAAGGCAGAGGAACAAAAACCAGGGCTTGAGAGTCAGATGGGCTGGTGGGCTGGATAGGATGCGCAGAGGAGGTACTGCAGGTACCCTGGCCTCAGGCTACTTAGGTCCTTAAAGGTAAGAGGCAGCACTTTTTATAGTGTCTGGAAACAGATGGGTAAGGGCAGATCTTTCAGCAAAAGGGTGACAACAATCCCTGAGAGCAACACCTGACAATAGCTTGGCTGCCACATTTCGGACCAACTGAAGTTTCCAAACCATTTTCAAAAGCAGCTCCATATACAGCACGTTACATTAATCTGTTATCAAAGCATGGCCAGATCATAATTTTCAAGGAACACTTGTAGCTGGCAAACAAGTTGGAGCTGATAAAAGGCATTACATGCCACGAAGCAGACCTGAACCGCCAACCATAGGCTAAGACCCATTAGTGCCCTCAAGCTATGAATCTGATCCTTCAGGAGGAATACTGACCCCTTCAAGATAGGCTGACTTTGCGGTCCCCCCAGCAGCTTCACCACTGACTAACAGCACCTCAGTCTTGTCTGGACTGAGAGTCAGTTTATTTTGTGCAACCACCATTTTGTAATCTTTTGGATGCAGTATGCTATACCAGCGGTGGCCAAACTTGCTTAATGCAAGAGCTACATAGAATAAACATCAAATGTTTAAGAGCCGCAAGACATGAACAAATATTAGACACACGTTTTTATTGGAGAATATGCAAATCTGCTTTTTATTAACATTAAATGAGACTGCCAAAAATAAAAACAAAAGGGGTAAAAATAGATCTTGATAATAATACTTATTTGTCTAAGAGAAAAAGAGAGAATGGTGGAAAGAAAGAATTAAAGAGGTGAAAAGAGAGATAGAGAAACAAAGAAAGCAAATAGATGGGTGGGACGGGAAGAAAGGAAAGAAGAGAGAGAGAAAAGAGAAAGAAAGGTGGAAAGAAAGCAAATAGATGGGGAGGGAGGAAGAAAGGGGGAAAGAGAAACAAAGAAAGCAAATAGATGAGGAAGATGGGATCCCCCCCACCCCGAGTCTTGTGGGGCCTCACTTGTAAATACTAAGATCAACTTCCACTACGTGAAATTTTCTTTGGTTGATGTTGGTGATAGAAAGCCATGTCCTCTTCTTTATGTAGCTGTCTAGTCTACACTAATTAAACAACAATACAAATACAAAACAGCAATAAGGTTGATAAATAAAAGCAGTTTGGATATTACAGGAAGGCCCAGTCATATGTATGAGTGACTTATGCATCCAGTTAACACAATTTCTGTACATTTTGAAACCAAATTACTATTATATCTGTATGTTTTGTATGATGATGAGAGCCAGTGTGATGCTGTGGTTAGAGTGTTGGACTATGATCCTGGATACCCCAATTTGAATTCCCACTCTGTCATGGAAGCCTGCTGGGTGGCCTTGGACAAGTCATGCATTATCAGTCTAACCCACCTCACAGAGTTGTTGTGAGGATAAAAAGGAGGAGAGAAAAAAAAGGGGGAAAATCACTTTGTATTCCCGCTGTAGAGAAAGGCAAGGTATAAATGAAGTACATAAATAAAATAGTACCACACCCTATCATACTCTTTATGGGGGCATATATATACCATATTGTCTTCACTACAATCTTGTGAGGAAGTGTCAACGGAGATTGTGAGTAGTCCAAGGTCAACCAGTAATCTGCAAGGCTGAGGCTGTAGATTTGGGTCTGGGTTTTTCTATTCTCAGTTCAGAAAGGTCCCATTGACTCCTTGGTTTTATACTTAAGCAAGTCACTTTTATATATCCCAAAACCACTACACAGGAGAGAACCAAAGGCCATCCACTCGCATACAGAAAGGACCCAGCAGTCCACAGCAAAAAAGACTAAGTGCACAAAATGCTTACAGAACAACAGACTTAAGTTACTGCACCAACGTTCCATGTAGACACAAATGAAAAGTACTAAAGAACAATTAGAACAATTTTTAGAAGTCTGCATTCCAAAGCTGGAGAGGAACTATCAAGAATGCCTTTAGCACTGATCCTTGATGCATTCTAGCTTTTGTCAGAAATGCACTTTTGGACCACGTAGAGATTTGTGGCTGTCAGGATTTACTTAGTGCCAGGGTTTTTCGAGGATTAGCCCAGGAATTACTTTCAGTGCCAGAAGAGAGTTCTTAGGTCCTAAAAAGTATCAATGAAATGCAAAAGTACCTTTTCTTTACTACAGAGTAATCACAGCCTGTCCTCACACTTTTAGACTGACGAGAAAGCCTCCTAGAACAGATGGAGATGACATACGGCAGCCATCTCTCTCTCTCTCAGAATTAAGCATCACTAGCTGCTCAGGGGCTATATGGGTAGAATTCTGGAGATGACACAGCAGAGCTTAACCCATCCCACAATCGTCTTGATCAACGCTACTTCTCTCCTCAGCAAAGAAGAGCACACACACACAATTAGGATAGCCAGCTGTCCCACATTTTAAAGACTGTTTCATCTTCCAGAACATCACAGAACATAATGAATCTCCTTATTTCAGCTGCCACAGCATCTTATGTTGTGCTCTGTATATTGTACACTCATGCTCTGTTGAGCACAAGATGGCATGTACTGAAACTACACAAAGGGACAGTACAATGCGAGCCTACCAAGCTTGATGCCTTTGTTATGGTTCCTTTTGTAATAAGCTCTTCTGTGTTTTTTCCCCCACTGCTGACAAATGTGCACACCTGAAGGTAGACTGAGGCATTTTGATGGACATTAGGTCAGAATAATACATCAAGTAGCCACTTGAAATCACTTCTAAGCTCCTGGAGGCCTCCCTCCGCATCAGCCTTCTCTGAGCTCATGCTTCAGAGACACATGACTGTGCTGAGTTCACAATTGACAGCTATAATTAACCTCATTCTTGCTGGTAGTCAGGTGTTCCTGGCTGGCACTTGTATATTTCACTCATCAAAAACTGTGACACTTCCTTCCTCTGTCT